TTCTTCTCAAAGTACGGTTCCGTCTGAAGTAGCGGTAAGTCCTCTATAATTGTGGTGACTTATTAAACCAAGTAGTTATTAAATTATGTACAGTTTGCAGGAAAAGAAAGTTGTTGTGTAATTCCTTCTTAAATGTCTAGGTGTCTTTTATCTTAAAATAACTTTGTAATTATGGAATACTCCTTTGAAGTGACGTCTATCACTAATCCTTCGTTTTTATTGTATCTCTATTTGTATTAGCAAATCAAACAAGTGATATATCACACGATAAATTGCGTCTTTAGATGGCTCAAGGCGATGTGACGAATGTTGATGAAGCCATGTGTTCGTCGAACGACAGTAGCGACGATAACGATATGCCTTCAAGTTGTGGGAAATCAAGAGTCTCCGTTTCCCGTAGCCTTTTGCGGAAGCGAACGTACTGTTTTACGAATTGTTGCTAAACTTTCTGCATCGTCTTCATCTATTTATTCAGTTGTTGTTTTATTCGCATTTTTTAGACGAAAATATCCAACTAGACGACGAAGATGTACCCCTTCATTACCGGTAGGATGTTCTCGCCTTGCTAAAGACATTCTAGGTGACGGCTTTGTTGGAGAGGTCTGTTCATTCACTATCTTCGACAATTGTTTTTGAATCTTTTTCAAAAGATTGTAACAAAAACACTGATTGGCGTTTTTATTCGCACATATTAAGCCATCGTTTGCTATTACGTCATGAGTAACTATAAAAAATGCTTTGCGTGCCGTACGGTTTTTCAAGGAAGTACTTAGAGATGAACCTTATATGAGAGAAACATCTCATAGTACTTCCAATTTTACCTGGTTTACAACTTCTCGTCCAAGATGACGAAATTTAGCTTTTGTTGAGTGAATTTTCCTGTTTTGGAAGTCGATGTATTGCAGGTCTTACTATCAAATACATTAGTGGATGTTCAATGGATGAATGGCACTGTAGAGCGGCAGATTCCTGGTTACATGTTGATTCCTCACGATCCTGATCTCGATCAACAAGATCACTTACCTGGTGTTATCGTAGCCCGAAAAGATGTACAAAATGCAGGTACGCTTACTTTCTTTTCTTCGTCTTTCTTAAGAGAATAAAGTACTTAAGAATCTGTATTTGGATTAATTCTGTCCACAAATCGTGCGGAGCGGTCCTGTGTTGTCTCCTGGTTTGAACGAACCAAAGACTCT